CCACTACTTACCCAAATATTCAGGGAATGCCCACCATATGCCAGGTGTGAGCAGGCTACCAGCAGCTCTCAGGTGTAGGGGGTGGACCAAGAAGCAGGCAAGGCTACCTCACCAGGAGCAGTGCTACACAATAGGGGGAAGCGCGGCTGTCCACAGGAAGTGTTAGCCAAGCTGCAGCCAGAGGGTAAGGAAGAGTTCTCCGTGGAAAGCTAGGGCACAGCTTTTAAAGCAGAGGAAATACTGAGAGTATGGACCCAGAGGACAGAGGAGCAGGCTAGGGCAGGGGAGCCACAGGAAGCTGCCATGGGGCCGAGCTGTGTATGACAGGGAAGAGGGCACAGAAGGGTGGCAGGTGATCAGGCTAGAGGCAGGCAGGGGACAGGGAAAAATGAAGGGTCTTCAAAGCTAGTATAATGTCTGTACTTTTTAGCCTGAGAGCAATGGGAAACCAATGAAGGGTTCTTCAGCGAGAGACTAACACAGTCCAATCTGTTCCCTTCAAGTACGGGAAATGGATTGGTAAGACTAGAAGGCAGGCCCATTGGGAAGCTGGTAGAGTCATTTAGGAGTGAGGTGATGGTGGTTTGAACCAGAAAGAAGTAGCTGGAATGCAAGGAATTTGTGCTGGATACTGGAAAGCCAGTAATGAACAAAATTATTCAGGAATGGATAATACATTTAGGAAGAGCTTTCAATAAGGCTTGTGATTTACTGGACACGAGCAGTGAAGAGTAACAGGCACCTGGACTCCTGGCCTGGACACTGGAGAGGATGTTGGTGCATCCCCTGAAAAAGTGAACAGGGAAGGCAGAGGCAGTGGTGTGGGAGGCAGAAACAGACAGGTCTACCAGGCCCTGTGAGGTTGAGATCTGGAGCTCAGGAAGGAGAGCTGAGATGCAGGTGAGACTGGCAGCTGAGCCTAGAACATAAGTGAGGTTCCCAGAGAGTGCAGCGAGATCAGAGCTAGGGGCTGTGAGGGCGGGGGAAAGGAGGGTGGGGGGAAAGGAGGGCACCTTTAAATGCAAACAGAACAGGGCTAACAAAACTAGAGCCCTTTAGGAAGGGGAGGGGGACAGGCAAGGATCTGCATTCTGTCACCATGGATCAGTTTGACTTTCTCAGAATTTTTATCTGTGGGATCATGCAGCACATGCTCTATTTTTGGCTGGCTTTTTTCACTCAGCATAATTATTTTGAGATAAACCCATGTTATATGTGTCCCAATAGACCATTCCTTCCTATTGTTGAACAGTTTTCCATTGAATGGATGTACCACAGTTACTTTTTACATCTATCTGTTATTGGGCTTTAGGGTTGTTTCTGTATTTTGGCTATTTCAAATAAAACTGCAATGAACGTTTGTGTTCAAGTCTTTGTATGGACATGTGCTTTCTTTTTCTCTTGGGGAAAAAAAAAGGAGTAAGATGACTGGGTCATATGGTAGGTGTGTGTTTAAGTTTTTAAGAAACTGCCCAAATGTTTTTGAAAGTGACCGTACCATTTTATATTCCCACGAATGGGCCTGTCATATGGTGGATTACACTGACAGATTTCTGACACTGAATCAGCCTCATATCCCTGAAGGCTAAACCTCAATTGCTAATGATGTGTAATTATTTTAATATATTGTTGAATTTTATTTGCTAATATTATGTTAAGGACTTTTGCATCTGTACCCATGTGGGATACTGGTCTGTAGTTCTGTCTGGTTTTAGTATCAGTTAATACTAGCTTCATAAAATGAACTAGGAAGTGTTCTCTTCTATTTCAGAACAGAGTGTATAGAATTGGTACTAATTCTTTAAATGTTCAATAGAATTCTTCAGTGAAAAAAATCTGAGCCTGGAGTTTTCTTTTCGGGGAGTTTTTAAATTACATATTCATTTCCTTAATAGTGATAGGGCTTTTCAAATGATCTATTTCCTATCAGGTGATTGTGGTAGTTTGTGCTTTTCAAGGGATTAGTACATTTCAACTAAGTTATCAAACTAATTCATGGACAGTTGTTCATTATATTCATTTTTTATGCTTCTGGTGATTTCAAGGTCTTTAGGGATATCCCCTATTGATTCCTGATACTGGTTAATTTGTGTCTTCCCAACTTTTTTCTTTGTTAGTCTTGAAGGAAGTTGCCAATTTCTTAATCTTTTCAAAGAACCAGTTTTTTGTCTCATTAATTTTTTCCATTATTTTTCTGTCTTCAATTTCATTGATTTCTGTTCTGGTCTTTACTGCTTCCTTCCTTGTTATTTTGGGTTTATTTTACCCTTCTTTTTTTCTAGGTCTTGAGGTGGGAGCCTAGATATTGATTTGAGACTTTTCTTCTTTTATAATATATGCATTTAGTGTTATCTGTTTACTTTTTAGCACTGCTTTTGCTGTGCCCCATACATTTTGATATATTTTTAACTTTGATATATTTTAACTGATTATTTTAACCATCTACATTTAACATATGTTAGGATTTCAGTTTGTCTTTTTTGTTGTTTTTATTGTTTCCTTCTTGTACTGTCATATTATTCATTTCTGTTTTCTTTTTCCTGCCTTCCCTTGGCTTAATTTAATATTTTTTAGAATTCCATTTTACCTATTTTTAAGCATATAGCTATGTATCTTTTTTTCAGTGGTTTCTCTAGGTATTGCATAACAGCCTACTGATGTCATCATTTTGCCAGTTCAAGTATAGAAACCTTACCTCCTTTACTCGATTTATAGTATAATTTTCTTACACATTTCCTCTTACATATGCTCAGAACCATATCAGACAGTGTTATAATTTTTGCTTCAACCATCAAGCATAATTCAGAAAACTTAAAAGGAAAAGGAAATTATGTTTCACTTTTACAATTTTTCCTTCTTCCTTCTTCATGTTCCAAGACTCTTTATCATTTCCTTTCTGTTTAGAGAACTTCCAATAGCCATTATTTTAAGGTAGCCTTAATGTCTTGATTTACCCTTCATCCCTGAAGAATATTTCTTCTGTATATAGAATTCTGAATTGACAGTTCTTTCAGCATTTGAAAAGTGTTGTTCACTTCATTCTGACATCCATGGTTTTTGATGAGAAATCTCTTGTGCAAACAAAACAAAACAAAACATCTTTTCTTAAAGATAATGTTGACTTCTTTCTCACTGCTTTCAAAAATTTTCTTTGTCATTAGTTTTCAGAAGTTTGGTTATGCTTTATCCTGGTGGGGATTTCTTTGGCCCTATCCTTTTTAGGGTTTTCTCAGCTTCTTGAATCTGTAGGCTTAGGTCTTTTGCCAAATTTGGCAAGTTTTCAGCCACATGTCTTTGAGTACTTTTCACCTCCACCCTTATTCCCTTCTTCCAGAACTCTGGTGACATAAATATTAGACATTCTGTTTTAGTCCCATCGGTCTCTGAAGTTGTGTTCATTATTCTTTCAGTCTCTTTTCTCTTTGTTGTTCAAACTGGGTCATTTCTATTGTTGCCTTGAAGTTCACTGATTCTTTTCTTTGCCCCCTCCATTCTACTCATGAATCCATCCACTATTTTATTTCAGTTGTTTTATTTTTCAGTTCTAAGATTTCCATTTGATTCTTCTTTATAACTTTTATTTCTTTAAAAAAAAAAAAAACTTATTTGAGAGAGAGAAAGAGAGCAGGGGAAGGGGTAGAGGGAGGGAACCCTCAAGCAGGCTCCACACCCAGCATGTGAGGTGGAGGCTCGATCCCAGGATCCCGAGATCATGACCTGAGCCAGAACCAAGAGTTGGCCACTTAACAAACTGAGCCACCCAGGCACCCCTCTTTTATTTATTTCCTGAGATTTTCTATTTCTTTCTTGAGGCTATTTTTTCACTTGTTTTCAAGTGTATTTGTAATTGCTTGGTAAGACATTCTTATGATGGCTTCTTTAAAATCTTAGTCAGATAATGCAATATCCTTGTCATCTCCACATTAGTGTAGATTGTCCTTTTTCATTAAGTTGAGATTTTCCTAATTCTTGGCATGAATGACTTTTGATTTATAAAATTTAAAATTTGGGTAGTATAAGACCTTTAATTTTATTTAAACCTCTGTTTTAGCTGGCTCCCACAGACTCTGCTCCAACAGGGAGGGTGAAGTACTTCCTGGTTACTGCAAAGTAGGAATAGATGGTCTAGGTTTTCTACTGAGGACCCATGAAAGAAGTAGGAACCCCTCATTACTGATGGTGACAGTGGGATTTATGGCTCCCCACTAGGTTTCCTCTGATAACACGTTAAGAATGCATACTCTGCTGTTACTGGTTGAAGTGTTCTATGAGTGTCAATTAGGTCAAATCATTTGATGGCATACTATTTCATGGCAATTTTTATTTGAACTGACATGAAAACCTGAAAAAGTAAGCTCTCACTTCTAGGCAATATTGAAAAACAAACAAACAAAAACCAAAATTCTACCAAGTCCCTTAAAATATCCCACTTAATGTATTTAAGTTAATAAAACTGGAAGAAACTTGATAGAAAAAGATAATAAATTTCATGACAAGAAATTACTGATCTATTACCAAATTAGAGGATCAAAAATATTAGAGCTGAAGGAGACCTCAGAGATGAGAACAGACATCTTATTTTATAGCGACTCTGAAACTAAGAGATGTGTCCAAGGCAACACACTGAATTTATGTCAACCATGCTTCACCCTGTATTACTGTTTACCTGCTCTACTGTGCAGAAGATATGGGCATCATCCTGCTGGAAGCGCCTAACTCGAGTCAAACCACTTAAAGTTCCTGATAATTCATTCCTATGAAGAACTCCAAAATCAGCGAATCTGATAGGCATTTCCCTCCATGATCGTGGACGATGAGCAAACATTAGACTAGAAAAGATGCAACAACACACAGCTTTTACTTAGCACAGAAAAGATTAAGTAATTATCTAAATGTTAATAAGTTACAGCTAAAATTCCTCAAGGACACCTGGGTGGCTTAGTTGGTTAAGCATCCAACTCTTGATCTCAGCTCAGGTCGTGATCTCAGGGTCGTGAGACTGAGCCCCAACATCGGGGCTTAAGATTCTCTCTCCCTCTCCCTCTGCCCCTCCCTGTGCTCACTCTCCCTCAAAAAAAAAAAAAAAACTTCTAGGAATTTTTGAACCTTGAATTTATATCACTGCAACACTCTGAGAAAGAACCCTGTCTGTTATCTCTTCCAGAAATTCTGTTCCTTATTCTTTTTCACCCAGTGAATTTCCACTTACTGTGTACAATTCATTTCAAAGGCTACTTCTTAAGTGAAGGCCTCCTGGACACTTCCCTAGATGGGGCTAGGCAGTGTCTCCTCAGGCTCTGAGATCACCTGGAAATGCCACTAACTTGACACTGAACTTACTTTTTCAAAACTGATTGTCTACATATCTGCTTCTGTCCCACTCTGCTCCCTAAGGAAATGGACGGTGTCTTAATCACCTCTGCATTCCTAGCACCAAGAGCCATAAGCGCTCAAGTTTTCCCTGTTGAATAAAAGACCTCTCTTCTGGGGGGGGGGGAACCACTCCTGGCTCTCACCTTCTGTTTAAAAAGAGAGCAAACAGAATGTTTACACACCAGTTTTCACAAAATTAAAGTATATATTTTTTTACATGCTGTCATCGTAAAGTTGAATTTCTTTTAGTCTTTAATGTAAAGGGCAAAAAGTTTTCTTCAGTTTGTTTTGAGGTTTTATAGTTACCTTCTAAGGCCAATTTACTTGAAACTATGTATGCTGATGATATAAAACCACAACACTTGGGAAATTTTTTGGTGGATACTCATGTCTGTTCACAACCTATTGTGAAATATGCTTGTCTTACAAGGTTGAATTTGCATACCAGCTTTATGATAATTACATTCTTTCAAAGAATCTAAGACAACACTGTAAGATGTAGCACTATATTATGTACCACTAGAAAGGAAATAACCATTAAGTTATGACATAATGCTAAGATGCCCCCGATAATATGATGCATTCTGATTTCAGGGATGTTGAAATGGGAGTGGGTGGGAAGTTATCTTAGAATCAATGAAATCCAGGGGCGCCCCTGGGTGGCTCAGTCGTTAAGCGTCTGCCTTCAGCTCAGGTCATGATCCCAGGGTCCTGGGATCGAGCCCCGCGTCGGGCTCCCTGCTCAGCGGGAAGCCTGCTTCTCCCTCTCCCAATCCCCCTGCTTGTGTTCCCTCTCTCGCTGTGCCTCTCTCTGTCAAATAAATAAAAATAAAATCTTTAAAAAAAAAAAAAATCAATGAAATCCAGTAACCCATTGATTATGACTTCACCGGTCTTGTTTTAATCAACCCAAACAGTATATAAGAACTAAATGTTCTGCAAATATGTGTATTTGAAGTGTATTACTATTACAAAAACAAATATAATAATTTATAAAATTGATATATAATTCTATCTCTAAGAGGCACAAAAACTAAATGGTTTCCAGTTAACATTCTACACCTGCCCAAGATCAAACATATCTTAAAATGTATTCTCCAGAATGAAATAATTTGGTAAAGATAACTGGTAGCCACCACTCCTCAGATTAAAGGAATCCCTTAACTCCAAAAAAGCAAACTAGTAATATTCAAAGCTGACTGTGATGAAGTGTGCTATGTGCTCTTATGCAAAGATCTGCTTCACTTTTAATACTCACCAGTGCCCTGGACAGTTCATGGGCTTAAGGGCGAACGTGTCCTTTTCAATATCAAAGGTAAACATGTTCTCACTATAATGCTGCCAGTGACCTGAGGTTTCCCAGAGTCTGCTGTTGTACATGTTGGGAGAGAGCACTTCTGTGAAGTTACGTCGGTGATATTCCTCCTTTAAGATAAACACATTTAATGTTAAAATGTGGCACAACAGATCACAATTCCATGCAAAGTAACACTAGTAGTGAATATTTCTTAATTTGGGATTACATCTCATATTAATTTGTGGTTAATGTGCCCTCAGTTTTAGGTGGGGTGTTCTGGATCATGAAAGAAAGATTAATGTACTCTCAGTCTCATTTTCACATTATCTTTATTTTATACTATATAATAGTATATAGTACATAATCTGTTAATTCTTTGAAAATTAGTAACTAAAATTATATGTATAACATATATCACATATAATATTATGTATATATAAACTTCCTGTAACTACAAATTCCAAAATCCTTTACATTCTAGATAAACAGCAGGTATTTTTCTATTACTTAAGAGGGAGAATCACTTTATAACTCAGTAAGCCTGAATGCTACGTTGCATGCAAATTTAGTTTTGATCTATTTAGTTTTAAACAGAAATGAAGCTGAGAATTTTAATATATAACACATTAAGTGGCTGGTATCTATAAAGTCATAAGCTGGTTTCTCTTCCTCCCTACCTATCAACAGCTTCCCTAATTCAATCACTTGGGACTGGAAAACAGAGTCTTTCAACCAAAGTTCTTATTTTATTTAAACTTTTTTTCCTTCAAGATATCGATCAGATGATCTCTGTTGGTGGTTTCTTAGGTTTTTACCATTTGTTAATCATTTAAGGGGTATCTGGCACAGATCTAGACCAGCATATTTTAATGAAGTAAAAAAAAATTTTCTTACAATTAAAAAAAGTATAAAACATAAGGTTTTAAAATTATGAACAACACTCGTTTCATATCACTTAAAGGGATGCCATTGTTACTCTTCGGCAGAGCATGTTTTCAGTCCAGTTGTGGATAGCTGGGTCTCGGCCATTCAGTAAGCTGCTTTACCTATCCCTCATTTTTACTAAATTAGAAAGTTTTAACAAAATTATAGATCATTACAAATGGCAGTAATTATTCTGCGGCTATGTCAGATGCCTCTATATATTCAGATTAAACAAGGACCTAGAAATTGAAGAATTTTTTGTTTCCTTGTTTGTTTTGACTGAGACTATTTTAAAGCTTGGCTCAGGAGATAATAATAATGGACTTTTAATCCACTCTGGATAATATTGCTAATCATGTTAGTATTTCATGTATTTGGGAATGATTTTAAAGTATGCTCTATGATGGGAAATGTTATTATGTTTATAGCTTACTTTGTGCAGTTTTGCTACTATAAATAAAGTTTCTGTGGACATTCCAATACAAGTCTCTGTATGGGCATGTTTTTATTTTTCTTGGGTAAAAAACTAGGAGTGGAACTGTGTAAGAAACTGCCCAAACTGTTTTACAAAGTAGCAGTACCATTTTGCATTCCCACCAATGGGAGTTGGAATTTTCACATTCTTGCCAGTCTCTGGTATTTTCAGGTTTGTTGTTGTTGTTGTTGTTGTTTTGCCATTGGGTGGGGGGATATTCTAGTGGACATGTAGCTTACTGCAGCCTTAATTTTCGTATCTTTCTTTTTTTTGAGAGAGAGAGAGAGCAAGCATCAGTGGGGGTAGAGAGAGGGAGAATCTTAGGCAGGCTCCACACCCAGTGCAGAGCCCAATACAGGGCTCGATCTCACAATCCTGAGACCATGACCTGAGCCAAAATCAAGAACTGGATGCTTAGCTGACTGAGCCACCCAGGTGCCTCTAATTTTCATTTCTTTGATGACTAATGATGTTGGGTACCTTTTTTTTTTTTTTTTAA